TTCTTTTTTTTTTAATTATTTTTTTGTTTTGTTTTTTCCCCCCCCACACTGATGTAATATGATGTCGTCGCCTGTAAACACAATATTATTATTATTATTATTATTATTATTATTATTATTATTATTATTATTATTATTATTATTATTATTATTATTATTATTATTATTATTATTATTATTATTATTATTATTTTCTATTGCAAATTTTGAGTTTTGATTTTAATGATTAGATCTATTTCACTTTTCATAGATGGAAATCATTTCAATTGACCAGACATAATTTGTTGTCCACGTAAATTATGAATTTTTTTTTTTTTTTGAGGAAAGAGTTTATTTTATTAGGCACCCGAGGCCAAAGAACAAAACGAAGGGAGAGAATCCCCTTCTAGAAAATTCGAAACAGTAAGAGAAACAAGAACATGAGCAAGTTTGTTCCCTTCTCTCTTAATAAAACTAAAAGAACAAGAAATAAATGACCTAGCAACAAACAGACATTCATCAACAATTGCACCAAAAGGTGTGAGGGAACGATCTCCGCAACGAAGAGCGTCCATAACCCGTAGACAATCTCCCTCAAATATAATGGAGCTCCAATGAAAACGGTGTGCCGTGATAATCGCTTGTCGGACTGCTTGAGCCTCTCCTTCCGCTGGAGAAACTCGACCTCGGATTTGCACCACTCGCCACCACACACATAATCCATCTTCATCTCTAGCCACCAATGAAACGTTGAAATAATCTGCATTTGCAGGGAAGGCCGCGTCCACATTGATTTTAAGTGTTCCTCTCGGTGGCGGTGCCCATATAACTGGTTGGATCATCTTTGTGACGGTAAGTTGGCCGAATTGTATGTCTATGTAATCTGCCAAAAAAGCTTGACACCATGGAAAAATGGCTTCGAGTTGCATTCCTTCCTCGCCATGCATCATTCGATTTCTCCTCTCCCAAATTTTCCAGCATGCAATGACTGAAAGATGGAAGACTTCCTTCGGTAGCGAATTGTGGAGGAGTTCAAACCAGCTCCAAAAAGAGAGGTTTTCCGCCACCTGCTTGATTCGGAAATGTTCCGCTGCCCAGTATTCTTTCAAGCCGTTACAATCGTAAACAACATGCACCATGGTTTCCGCATGCTTGCCACAGAAAGGGCATAAGGGCTCCGTGGTTATTTTACGTCGAAATAGCTCCGCCGCATGGGAGTATCTCTGCACAAGCTCGCCAAATTAATTTCCAATTTCATGTAGAGGATCCACTTATTTCTCCTATAGTCACATTTCTCAACCGGTCCGTGTGGTAGAGGCGGTCCATGATGTGGTGATAGTAGGTTTTCACCGTGAAGACTTCGGTGTTTGAGAGGCCCCAAACCACACGATCGTGAGTGGATGGGCCACCGATAGAGACCGATAATATGCGTGATATATCCACAGGCCAAAACCACTCATTTAGCAGCTCAAGGTCCCACAAACCTGTGTTCGGATTTATGATGTCTGAGACTGAGTTGGGAAAGGCGGAGTATATCGGTCTCGAAGTTAGGATAGTGGGACGATCTTCATTTTGTATCCATGGATCCCTCCAAATTGAGGTGGACTCTCCGTTACCGATCCGAACTCGAACGCCCGCTCTGATATGTTCACGTGCCGCCAAAATACTTCGCCATGTTGCTGATGGGCGATTGCCTAACGAAGCCGACCAAAAGTCACAGTGTGGGAAGTATTTCGCTCGAAAGATCTGGGATAGTAAGCTCTCGGGCCTAGTGCTAATTCGCCAAGCTTGTTTTGCGATAAGTGCCAAATTGAAAGCTCGGAGATCTCGAAACCCCATACCTCTCACTTCCTTTGGCCGACAAAGTTTTTTCCAAGCTAGCCAAGCTATCTTATTACCATCGCCATTCGACCACCAGAACTTTCTTACTGCCGCTTCAATCTCGTCGATTAATCCCTGTGGGAGGATAAAACAGGACATGACGTACGACGGTATTGCTTGAAGTACGGCCTTAATGAGGATCTCCTTTCCCGCCTTTGAGAATTGTTTCGAGTCTCGTCCCTTGATGCGCGACCACGTAAATTATGAACTTATAACAGCATAGTTACAACATGTCAGGTTCTTAAAAGGGTGCAAATAAAATGATTTTTCTTTTTATAGAATTAGAGGAATATATTTTTAAATATTATTCTGTTTGTAAATAAATATTCAAGTATATATATATATATATATATATATATATATATATATATATATATATATATATATATACACGGCAAATTATGGTGAACCCCTGAGACAAGGTCAAATTACGAAAACCTATATTCTGTTTGGGTGATTACGACTACCCCCTTCACCTATGTATTTCCTTACGAAAAAACCCCTCATTCAATTGGTAAATCTAGAGCTGAGCATGGATCGGTTTATCGACCAATCGATCATCTTTCGACCCGCTTCTTTCGGCTGATAATTTTTTTGGCCGATAATTTCAACCGACCCATATGTAAATGGGTCGGTTGGTGATTTCAGTTTACTCAAAAATCGGTTGATCGAGTAACATCGACCAACGAACTTTTTTAATAATTATTTTATTATAAATATTTAATTGTAATTCTAATTTTTTTATTGTTAAAATATTATATAAAAGAGGTAAAAATTCAAAAACTCACCTCTCCATACTATTTCTTTTTTATAAATTTTTTTTTTCATATTCGTCACTATATATTTACTTATTGTAGAAGTTTAATAAAAAAAATTACTAACACAGGTTTTCCCGAAATATTGAACATCGTTTGAAAAAACTTTTAAAAACATCTTATTATTGTAAAAAAAATTAAAAATAAATAAAAATAAACAAATAGATGGACGATAATATTAACCAACCACCCATTGTTTACTCGTCAAAGTCGATTGCCAACCATTACCCGACCCATAATGGTCGGGTCGGTAATAATTTTCAATTTTCAGCAAAATCGGTTGGTCGGGTCTGGTAGGTAATAATTACCCGACCCGACTCATGCACAACCCTACGTAAATCTGACACTGTAAGAGTGGACGTGTAAGAGAATACATAGTTGAGGGGGTGGTTGCAATTACCCAAACAAGAGGGGGGTTTTCTTAATTTCACATTACCTTATATGGCAAATTGCACATCGCCCCCTATATTTTTTTTTATTTTTTGCTGTTTACCCCCTAAACAATTTAAAAAGTAAATATCCCTTTCAAAATGTTATTCTTGTTGCACATGGCCCCGATAATGAAATTCCGATGGATTATTCATCATAACTGAGTATTTTTGTTTCAGATTGCCCCTTTAATTGTTATTTTTGTTGCACGTTACGTCGTTACCCCTTAAAAATATTAATTTTTTACACGTTACCACTGGCTCAATGTTGTCTCCACCACTCCCAGAAACTAATAGTCCGTTAGAAATATATCGGAATCACGTATCTAACGCATTATCCTATTACAGTTTATAACGATCTTTCAAGGTGTAATTGTAATTATCGATACTATATAGACCTTAAAGTTATTTTAGCATACCTCAGAGGTGTAGGTATAATTTAGCCATAAAATATTCCAGAATGACAATTTTGTCCTTTAATGTGCACCAGTTCCGTTTTAATTTATCCCCACCTCAGTTCCCATTAAATGATGGCATTCTTTCGTGATCAATCGTGAGGATTTAATATTTTTGTTTTCCTCCCGAATGCAAATCACCATAAATGGAGCGTAAATAAACGAAAAAGGAAAAAATCCGACCAAACGAAAATTTTTGTATCGAATGACACCGAAAGACCCATTTTTGTTAATAGACATTAAAATTACCATTTTCTCACTTCGAAACAACATGAATTTCGGTTCATTTCTTACACTTGATGGTGATTTGATTCGAGAGAAAAAAAAAAAAATTAAATTCTCATAACTGATCATTTTTAATACCAATGATTTAATGGAAAATTCGGGTGGATGTATTAAAGCCGAATTTGATTCACATTAATTGAAAAATACATTTTGTATTTTTAGGGGTTCTCATTTTTTATTTTTTTTATGTTTATAGTGGGTTTAGTGCAAAAACATAATTTTTAGAGGGGTGAACTGCATTTTGACCATTTTTTAGGTAATGGATGCAAAATTTTATCAATAGTTCTTGGGCCGAAGAAAATTGATGGGCTATGTTGACCTAATTCGAGAAAATTATGCCAAGTCCAGCTCCGAATAAAGAAGGCAAAATTTTATCAAGATGTTCTTTCTTTCCTTTTTTTTTTTTGGAAATTCAAATCCTGTTATAAATTGGAAAACAAGCAGAATTTGAACCCCTAGAGTTGGTAATAAGTTCTTGTACTACGATGGTGTTTGCAAAAGTTTATTTAAAAATAGAAGTTAGTGATTGTGAGTTAAGTTGGAATTAAGTGATTATTTCTAAAAGTTGGGGGTGTTTGCGAATTAGCTGGAAAATCAACTAAAATAGGAAAGCAGATACATATGTGCTTTTAAAATTATAGCTTAAAGTAGCTTATTTAACAGAAGTAAAAGAAAAAGTTTGTTTTGCAAACACCTAAAAACGGATTATATGCAGAAAAAAACTCATAATCTATTTTTAAAAATATTTGCAAACACCACCTAAGTCAAGCGTAGGGGTGGTAAACGAGTTGAGCCGCTTGTGAACTCGATGAGCCGGCTCTAAAAAAGTTCGAACTCGAACTCGAGTTTTTTGAGACCAAGCTTGTTTTTAGTTGTTCGTGAGCTCACGAGCCGGCTTGCGAGCCTTTTTTTGGCTCTATATATTATTTTTTATTTAAATAATGTATAATACTATAAAATATTATATAATAATATAAAGAATATATATATATATATATTTAATTATAATATATATATTTTCTAATAATAAATTTAATAATTAAAGAAAAAAGAAAAACCAAATGAGCTTGGGCTCGAACTCGAGCTCGCGCCTGTCAAAACAGGCGAGCTCGGCTCGTTTACACCTGTTTTCAAACCTAATAATTTCAATTGGTTGGGACATTGGAGGAAAATAATTGATGCCAAAAGAATGCCACGTCAATTCATGTCACAACCTCAATTATTATTACAACTTTGATGTACACATTTAAGGGACTGTTTAGAATTCAATATTATAAGACACACATCAAGTGAGAGAAAACTTAAAGTCCAACCCTAACATGCTTAATGGGTTTATTTATGATCATGTCATCAAAATAAATAGTTGCATTTTATTATTTTAAATACAATTTATAATAAAATATGAAATATACATATCAAAAATTGTACTTGTCATCCAAAAAATGGGTTTTTATATGTGTCACACCAATTTTAAAATTTAAAATTTAAATTGTTCATGCTTATCTCCAACACATGTGCATTGTCTACATCAAGAACAATATAATATGCTTGAATTATGAGAAGATTAAAAAAATAAATTCTTCTTCAATTTATATGCATATATATAAATGAAAACGAAAAAAAGGGGGGTCTAGTTTGTATAGCTGTAGAATATACTGGCAATTTTATTGTGGGGTGGACGGAAATAAAATTTTAATTTCGTCCTTAACTTATATTTCGTGTACTAGTGAAGTAATTACTGTCAATGTACGCGAATATATCGATATACAGTTAAACCTCTATAATTTAATACAGTTGGAATTAACAAATTTGTTTTTTAATTTAGTGAGTGATATGCCTAATTGGGCCAACCCAATGGGCCTACAATTTCCTTACATACTGGGCCACGAACCCAATATCGAAGACTATTATCACCGATGCCCAATCACCTTCAAGTAAGGTTTGGGCCCGACAATCTCAACTAAGCTATAAATAAAGGTTTGAACTCATTCCTTAAGGTACGTCCTATTATCTGAGCAAAACTATTAATTGTATTCTCTGGACTATTTATACGATCAGCACGTCTGACTTGAGCGTCGGAGGGGTTTCCGCCGGATCAACCCCCGGCGTAGTTCACGTGTGTTCATTTCGCAGGGACCTCAGGATCATCAAGTTGTCAAGCTATTGATCCGCTTTGCTCTCCCAGTTCATTTTCTACACCACCCTAGGTGATCTACATTTTAGCATCATCATTTTGGCGCCGTCTGTGGGAACGATGCAAACCAGATCACGTAGC